GGGGGGGAGGGTGGACGCGCTGGGGTGGGGGGCGCAGGCCGGCGCGCACCCCGTCACTGCACTCCGCGTACGCGCGAGGACCACCCGGGCGCACCTCTTGTGAATGGCGTTACTCACGGGCCGCCATTCACCGCGGCCAGCAGAGGGGTGGGGGGCGGTGGTCCATCCTAGCGCCCATTATTCTTGGGCCACAATACGGCGGGCGAGCTGCCAGGCGCGGGCCGCGGCGCGCGTCAAGCCAACAACCACCCCATTGTGCGGCCCTGGGCTGGGCCCTGGCGCCCGCCCGAGCCCCGCTGGAAAAACACCGCGCCGCGCCCGCGGGGCTGCCCCGGGGGGCCGCCGCCGGGTGCCCCCCGGGTGATCCCGGACGCGCACCAGGCCGCCGTCGGCCGGCCCGTCCGCTGCCCTACCCTTGCGCGTGTTGAAGTAGTACTGCGTCAGGTAGATGTTCCCCTCGAAAGACTGGCCGAAGTTGTCGGGCGTCAGCAGCAGGCACTCCTTGGCGACGGTGGAGGGCACGGACCCGTAGTAGATGGCGCGCACCTCGCCGTCGAACTCCGAGACGGTGACGCACTTGAGGATGGCGCGGTAGAAGTCGCTCACTTCCTGCCAGGTGGCGGGAGGGGCTTCGTCCGGGACCGCCCAGCGGTACATCACGCGACCTGGCCTGTGCGAGCCTCTGCTGCGCCGAGTCTGCGCGCTGCCCGCTCTGCCCCGGGGGACTGGGGCGCGCGCCCGACGCGGGCCTGGACCGCCGCCCCGCCACGCCCGTCACGCCACTCCCCCGCCACGCCCCGCCGCGCCCTGCCACGCCCCGCCGCGCCCTGCCACGCCCCGCCGCGCCGCGCCCCTCTCCCACAGCCGCATAACGTTCCTCATAAATACGGCGCGCGGCGTCCCTACGCTGACCGACGCCCGGCGTCGCGTCGCGTCGCTCGCACCCCCTCCAACCGCAAACCCTTCTCCCCTGCCTCCCTTCCCCCGAGCCAGACCTCCCGAACGAAGGAAAAAAAATAAATAGAAAACCCAATGGCAGCGACAAGGGCATAACTCGCGGCTACGAATCAGAAATAGGGACGTTGAGGCCCGGGGTGGCCCGGCGCGCCGCTTGGTCGCGCCAGGTCGGGCCGAGCCCGCTGGGCCCGGGAGCACCTGCCGCCGCTAAGGGTGAAGGAGAAGGTCGCGGCGGTCGCCAGGCGCAGGACCACCACCCGGGCCCGCTATGGTTTGCGTCTCCGACCAAAACTGCCGTTTATTTTTATTTTTTACGACTCCGAAATACCAGCTGCTCTGGAAGGCAGTCTTGCTGGCTGGAACTGGAGATTCCTGTCACTATTGAGAGTCGTGTTCGACTGTACTGACGTTGTAGATAGAGATAGTGTGCTCTGTCCAACTGCGCTGTACTTCCGAGGATGCCTGGATACCAGAAAGCTGCTTTTCTCACTCACCGTTGACGTGGCCGCCAGTCGAAGGTAGGGGGATCTTTGGGAACTGGACGCTGCGGTACTCCTGGTGGGTGGTGGTGCGAGTGGTGGTGGTACTGCTGCTCCTGCTGGTGCTGTTGGTGTTGTTGTTGGCCCGGCGCTGCACTTGGTTGGCGTCGCGCTCCTGCTTCAGGAAGTCGTCTTCAGGACTGGCCTGCAAACATGGACAAAAGTTTTGTTTTTAAAGTCAAGCAATAATAGTTGGTTTTAGGCCAATCAGCAAGAATAACAAAAGAAACGCATTCTATTGCATGTTAAGAAGTGGTAGGCACCGGTAGATGTGCCACGAGGCACGTGGCTGCTTGTTTCCGGAAAATCCCCCAAGACGGCAGGTTGGAACCAGAAGGCGCCATGTGTAATTTCCGGAAATTTACGCCCAGCGGGCGGCGTGCAGCGACCGGGCCGTCCCAAGACCCGGGCAGGCTGGGCCCGTAGGGATAAAACCAGGGGACGGGCAAAAGTTCACGTCATTCCGAGGGCACCAGTCGCCGTGTCAACACATCGCCGCTGCTGCCGCTCCCCCCGATCCTGCTCTGCCATGGCTTCTCCTGCTCCAGCAGCCCCCACCCGCACCCCGAGCGTCAAGAGACGGCTGTCCCTCTGCGAGAAGGAAGACGCGCTGCGCCGCCTGGCCGGCGGGGAGTGCATCCACGCGCTCGGCCGGGACATCGACGTGACGCCGGGCTGCATCAAGAAGTGGGCGAGCAAGGCGAGCCACCTGGTGAGCTTCACCGGGGACCACTCCAGGGTCAAGAACATGAAGCGGTGCCTGCTGCCGGACATGGAGGCCAAGCTGTACGAGTGGGTGGTGCAGCAGCGCACCGTGCTGCAGCGCCACATCCCCACCAGCGAGCTGCAGCAGCAGGCGCTCGGCCTCAACGCGGACCTCGGCGGCCCCGCCACCTTCCGCGCGAGTAACGGCTGGTGCGGCAGGTTCCTGCAGAGGCACGGCCTGCAGAACAACAACGCGGCCGCCGCCAAGCCCAAGCCGAGAGTGAGGGAGGACGGACGTCTCAACGAGGTGTACGTCGTCGCGGAGGCTGCTGCCGTGGACGAGACCGAAGAGGTCGAGGTCTTCACGCCGCCGGGGGAGAAGGATGACGAAGATGTAGTCGAGCTCTGCGCGGACAAGCCCGAGCCCGAAGAGGAGGACGACGAAGAGGATCTCGACCTGTCGGATCCCAGGACGATCGACGTTCTGAAGAGAATCACCAAGAAGCTCAAAAGGTACAATGTTCCCTGGCTTGAGGACTTTGAGAGGGCCATGTGGGAACCCACTCTCTCCGAGTTCTAGCTGCATGGTGTATGTGCAGTCAACCGTCGATATCCTAGTTAGTTGTAACGGTGATCTATGGAAATAGGTTTCAGTTTTTAAAAACCTTTAAATGCTGGCCACAATGTCTCCGGGCATTGCGCGGTGGTCGCAACCCCACAAACAAGCAGAGCGGAAGGTTTTGTGTAATGTGATATGTAATATGCGTCTAGTACGGTTGTTCAACCCTAAACGTGAAATAATAAAAATACCTAATTCAGTTTTGGAGTTTAGATAAACGTTCAAGGATTCTTTTTTTTATACTCCCTCCCCCCTCCACAGCTGTAACTCTCGAGGTAAGAAGCAGGCAGGTCAAGCTAGCAGCGTACCTGGCCTGACCTGTCTGGAATTCCCCAGTCGCGACGCCTTTCAGCTGAACGTCACCTACAAGCTTGTCGATTTGAAGGTCCAATTATTTGCAGTGTCGACCCGCATTTGTTTTCAAATAGTATCGAAGAATAGTTCTCCGCCCGCCCCCGGCGGCCCCCCGGCACCACAAGCAGCAGCACGGCACCTGCATGTGTCGTGTCGCCCGTCACCGAGGCCGTGCTTCACGCGCGCACCTCCCGCCCATTAGCGCCGTGCTGCGCCGCGCCGCCCCCCGCGCCGCCCCCAACCCCCCCTGAGTGATGGGAGTGCTGACCCGGGCGGCGCCCAGCCGGGCCGCGGCTGCGTCAACACCATCGCGACGCGGGCAGCGTCCGAAAGCGGATGCTGGGTCCAGCGGGGAAAGAGGGGACGCTCCGCACGCCACCCCCGG